ATTATTACGGATCGAAGTAATAATAATAACGGTCGTTTAAGTTACGCGAGTAATAACGATATTATTAAAAAACGTAATTTAATATACGTAAGTTTAAGCTCGGATTTTACGCGGAAGAATCTTAAGAATAATTAATATAATTAAGCGGTTGCCTTTTTTGATTACTTTTTCGTATAAGAAAAGGAAGTCTTCCTCGGAAAACTCCTCCTTAAAAAATTCGTCGGTAAAGACCTTAATAACTTAAGATACGATACCTTAAAAAACGCGAATAATTAAGGCTTAGGTACGTTACGTTAAAGGGCTAGGTATAATTATATCGACGTCGCTTTCGTTAATAAAGAGGTCTTTAAAGAGTTAAGTAATAATTAAAGCCCCGGACCCGGGAGTAAAGGATATTCCTCCGCGGCGAGCGGGACTACCGGCCGAAGCTCTAACGTTACCTCCCGTATAAATACGAGAGATAGGCTAAAAGCTCGCGGCGGAAAGGCCGAATATCCTTTACTTTAGCGAGGCTACGATACCTTAAAGCGTTAATATAATCTTATAAAGCATTTAAGTATTAAATATATTAAGAGATCGTTAATTACGGTATTATATTACTACCGGTAAATAACGAATAAATAATAAACGGACTATTTCGAATAACCTCTTACTTATTAATATGAAGTAATTAACGATCGTTTTATTATCTTAAGATATTTTAATATTAAGAATAATATATTAATTATAAATAATAACCTTTACCGCGATAAACTAAGTTATTATCTTACGGTCGCTTAATAAAAATATATTACGATTCGTATAATACGTAAGCTACGCTTTACGTAAATTATAAAAAAAGTAGACTTATCTTACGATAATAAATTAATGAAGCTTTATTAGTTATATTAGCTTACGATCGCGTAATTAATAGAATTATTTAATTATAGTTAGGTATATATACCTACGACGAATAACCTAGGAAAAAAAAGAAAAAAAAGAAATACGCTTAATTCGAAAGCGAGAAATCCTAGATATATTTATACTTAACCGCCTTCGTAAGAGAAACGGTAGAATCGGTTAATATAAGTAACGCGCGCGAGCGCGCGCGATAGTAATAAAGGAGATTAAATCCTAGTATTAATATTAAAGTAATTACTACTATATTACCTATATAGCTAACTACCGCTTAATCGAAAGCGAGTAATTATACGGATAATTATACGAGTAATTACGCGAGTAATTATTTTTATTTATAATAAATTATAAAGTATTAAATAAGGGATACGAAGAGTATATAACTTAGGAGAAAATACTACTAGTAATAAACCGGAGCATATACGAATAAAGAGACATAGGGGAGCCCGAGATAAGGTACCTAGTAATCGATTAACCTTAATAAGGCATAGCGAAACTAAGGAACAACCCCCTTAGGCTATTATCGTAAGTAAAGGACTATAGTTAACCTTATTATCGTAAGCTTAACTAGGGGGTATATTACGTAAGTATATACTCCTAATAAGAACTACTTAGCTTACCTAAGCTAATCGAGTACTACTATATATACCTATAGATTACTCCACCCTCTCTAATAGATTTCCTTCTTTTCTAGTTAATTAATATACACCTTCTTACCCGCATTTCATTACTCTCTTTACGAACAACCTATTAACCTAAGCTTAGCTCCCGCTAGCTACGTAACATATGTTAATATATAGCTTACGTTAATATATTATTATAAGCTCGCTACGATAGCAAGCGATAATAAGGAAATACCGTAATTAAGAAATAACTAACTTAAATAAAATACGCGTGAATAAAGTAATATATAGGTTATATACGTAACCGAGAGCGATAGGGAATTAAAAATAAGCGTATCGGGTTAGCTCTAGATATACTTCTATAGAAGAAAAGAGGAAAGGGAAAGAGCTACTACGAAAGAGTAGGAGATTTTTCTCTTATAGTATAAGAACTCGAATATAAGAAGGAGCGTTATCGGGTATTAACCTAGTAAAGCTACGAGAAGGTTCGCGTACGATAATAATAATATAAAGCGAAATAATAGGAGCCCTTACGAGCGTATAACGAATACGATAAATATACTTTATTAAAAGCTACGATATATCTCTTTTATTAGGATATTAAAAAGAGCTAATATAATAGTTAATTAAGAGGATACTTTAAGCTATTAGGAGTATTATATAAAGGCGTAAGTAATTAAAGCGACGAATATATTACCCTGGAAAGCCAGCGAGGCGAGTAAGGTTCGAGCTAACCTAGGACTTCTATTAGGAGAATAGCTAAGCTAATTATCGCGAGCCTTTCGGCTAAGCTATTGTTATTATTTAGCTAAGCCCGCTATCGCGAGCCTAGCTAGGAGGTATATTACGTAAAGAGCTACCTATATATAGCTCCTTACTCCTTCTTTAGTTACTCGCTTACCTAATATAGCTCTTAACTCGCTTATATAATATAACTCGTAGCTTCTTATCGTCTATATATAGGTAGCTCGTATCTCCTTTATTTATCTCCTTCCTTCTTAAATAGTTAGTTAATTTACCTTCTTCTTCCTACCTTCCGTTACTCCTAAGAAGCAACCTTAGTACCTACGTAGCTCTCCCGATCTACGTATCACTTCTTATATTAATAGGTAAAGAATTCGAAAAATTAATGTATTAATTTAATTAAGCTAATTGATTATATAAGTAAATTTCGGGTTTTTCTAATTTTTTCCCGGCTTTTTATATAGATAAATCGTCTGTTTATAAATATATATAAAATATCCGGCTCGCAAAGGGGTGGCTCGTAGAGCGGTACCCTAACTTACAACTTTTTGCGGCATATTAACTTTATGAGCCACTCTTGTCCCTTGGTCGTAACATAAGGCGTAAATACGAATGAAGGCTAGGATTATATGTGGTTGCAAGTTTACTATATACTAATATTCATCTAAAGTTCCATATTCCGATGGCCAACGTAAATATATTCTCAGTAATTAGATGGCGGTGTAGATACGGAGGTATGTATATGCGCAAAAACATGCTGCCCCCTAGGGGATATGCTTTATGAAGGTATAGACGCCTACATTTTCCTCATAATCGGCCACACTGGCTCCCACATAAACCCACGAGGGCAAAAGACATTTTCACATGGGGTATATAGTACGTACTTATACCCGTGGCTCTCATTAAACGATTTTTGTTATTGGAATATTCAGTTTCCTTAGTATTACAGAGAAGGATGGGCCAAGTCTTGACCGCAATTCTCCCATCAATGCACTCAGATCCCCTCAACAATCAACCCAACTCGCTTTAATTATCTAAGCCGAGGTGGATATATACGGTACTTTCAGTGCCTGCCTTGACCCAATACCCGCAATCATGGTAGATAGTCGCGATAAAACCCTCGAGGAAATACGCACCGCAGTTGTGAAGGAAAGAGAAGCCAGGTGGCCTCATAGCGTAAACGAATTCTGAGCGATGCTTGATAAAGCGAAGGAGGCTCGGGACGTCCCCTGCCTTGGTGATGAAAACACGACAAACGACCCGCCTCGCTGCTCAATAGCCGATTTTCGCACGCTCCAACTCTGACAGCGCGCATTTGATGTATTATCCACTACTGACTGAAAACGTACGGCAGGACTTCGTGGGGGTCTCAATGGGTACGCTTGGAGGATATTTTTGCTTCATGGCCGCGGCCTCTTCGTCTTGAAGGTGGTAAGCGGATAATACCTCGTATGATAGCATATATGTACTTGGAACAACGCCCTTTAACTAACTCGTGTTCTCAGCTCCGGGATGAGAAGCCGCCCTGTTATCATGCCTATTAATACGCTACCTAGTGAGAATGTCAGAAAGCTGCCACTCTCCAGATGGTAGAAAGCGCGGTAAAGAAGACTATAACAAACCCCACGTCTGAAATCGTAATAAATATCTAGCCAGAGACTCGCCATGATGCTTTCTGCAACGCCATCGTCTTTTCCACCCAGTGTCGTCGGAATTAACTGTATACCACAAGGACCAATGCCATAATCATGTCGATCCCGCGTATGAAACAGTGTCACGACTGGTTGAAGCTTACTGGCCATGGCGGTAACAAATGACGTAGAAACCTTGACCTAGAATCTATCTACATTAGAAAACTCGGTGAACGTAGTCTTTCACCTAAAGCCGAGTACGTCGCCATCGTTTAAGGATACGTCAACGACGAGGATAACGATCTTACTACTGTCGGTAAGGCTTGTGAATTTCTTTGGCATGCAGGGTTCGGTTATACTCGGGACCTGGGCGCACGCGATTGGGAAGGGTAGGGTTTTCTCGACCTCTCAGGCATTGTGCATGTCATTGGTTTCGGTTGGCACGCTAGAGGCAAGTCGAGTACTAAGGCCATAGACCTAGGTTTTCGAAGCACAAAATGACAGGATAGCGACCTTGATATCGGCTGCGGCATTCCCAGAGGCTCGTTTCTGGCCTCGCTAAAATGATCGGCTAATCAATCACGATCCCATGAATACTTGATTCCAACAGCTAGTTAGCTCCTCAACTCGTTGACATGTTCTCGATAGTCTATAGTATGATATAATAGCCGCTATGATTCCGGGATTACCTATTTCTCGAAGCCAATGTTACTGTGCACGAACCACCGTCGCCGGTTCACAGCCGGTCACTTCACCTCGGATCTCCTGTTAGGAACCAACACCACCCGCTGCACCCATATCGGAACAGGTGCCGCCTGGAAGAGGGTACCTAGCTAGATTACGTGCAATGATACCCGAGGCCGCAAGGCAATAAAGAGCCACAAGTGCGGCCCCGAGCCGCACCGTGGACTCCTGAAGGATAGGCGGACTCTGAATCCTGCCTAGGATCAGAGAACCTCCTTCTTGCTGTTACCCTTAAACCAAGCCTAAGCTAAGTCACCTCTCCCCTCAGAGTAATAACAGAATTAGTAGGTCGTGACAACGAACTCCTATAACCTGGAACCTCCGTCCGCGCACCTCTATAGAATGCTCTGTGGAGGAGGCTATGGCTCCGCTCAATCCGTATCTCACCTACAAGCGAGACACGAGCCGCCTCATATTTTGGATCATCCAAGTATCTAACGCCATCATTACCTCTTTGTCCACTTTTCCCGATGATGCGCCAACGACCCCAAACACGAATGGCCAGATCACTGTGTCGAGCCTCGTGTCCCTCTCGAAGCTCATTGCTAAGCACATTGGGCCCGTTCCGTCTGCCGTTGTATTCGCCGTTCCTCTGCGGTGTTGGTCTTGAAGAGGGCCTCAGGGGCCCCTACCAGTACAGCTTTATTGTCCTCGATACACTCCCATAACCCATACTGTTGGTCCACCTGCACAACATGCCCGTCCAGAAAGGGTATATAACTGCGCCAGTTGAAATGTATTCGTCACCCCAGCAGCTATTCCCGGAGTCCTTTTTCGCTGATGGCAAGGCCCCGACTTCGAATTTCGGCGAAGCCTTCCAAAGAAGGATCGCCAAATCGCCGCCACGCCGCTCCGGGGCCCGACGTACCTTTGACGATGTCAGGGAGCTCAGAACAAACAAGTTCTTGCGGACGAAATCATTTCTTATGGCTTGCCACGGGACAGGCTGGAATCCCGACCGAATTCCCGATAGTGATATTCCCGTGTCGTCCCTGCTAGGGATATACCGCATCAGCCAGACAAAGCATATAGTCGACCCCATTACGGGGCAGAAACGAATGGATGATACAGATTTGGTCAAGCGCGCAAGGACCATCGGAATCTCCGAGGAGGATTTAATTGAATGGGCTACATTTCTCCCTCAGGGAGGCAGGGGCGGAGAATCGGTTCCTGGGGCCACCCATAGGGCAATGATGCTAAAAGTATACAGAATATTTAATCGCCCCAAGCCAGAAAACACGGGCGGAAGTCATGAGTTGTCAGGCCAGGATCTACTCGATCTGCTGAAGTGGGATATTACGAACGACATCTGCGGCGATGTGCCTTTCTCTAGCCTGAACTACGTCTGGGTCACGGCTCGATTCATGATTCTATCTCAACAGTTCGAAAAGAGACTGGGAAAGCTCCGGAATGCACTATACGTACAGGCGTACGAGACCGATCCGTCGTGGCAGAAGCAGAAGCGAGTCAGGCTCACTTACCCCGCCCTTCGCTTACAAGACGAGGAGTGTCTGCGTGTTTTGGCACGAGAATTCCATAATCCTAGGACCGGATTCACAAGCCACATTTACTGGCATGACTTAGAGTTGATGAGGTCACGTGTGGAAAAGCTGAGGCCGAACGAAGACGACGAATTGTCAGGCATGTGTACGGTGATGTAGGTGAACATCGTAGCAACATCGTAAAGGACATCAATCGGTCGATAATGTGGTTTTTCGTCATCGCATGTTCTATTGGCCTACAGCAATTGGGACAAGCACTATCTATTTATTCGCTTAACGAACGACCAACCGACTAGTCACTCTAAAGCACATAACTTAGAACAGGATATCAAGTTAACAAAACTCGAGGGGTCGTGATGACAATGTGCCAAATAACGAGGGAAAGGAAAAGCCAGGTTTGCGAAGCTGAAAGGACCCAGGCGGCTCGTATTTACGTACCTAGGTAACACAGGCTTGGACAACTTTATTCAGAGCCTGCTTAGCAGAGGTGGAAACGTAATTTAAGGAGGTCTAAAATACAGAAATACTGTATCGCGAGAATAAAAGCCCCGTACGCTCATGACAGTAGGGGCTCGGGGGGGAAAGGCAGGAGCGTATTATCACCTAACAATGCTGCGGCGTGGAGGAAATGCTGCATGTTGTGACGTCTCCCCGCCCATGTCGACGCGCAGTCTAAAGCAGGCAGGCTATCTTACCCCAACCTTGCCAGCATATGCCCAGGTGCTTACCTGCCCCGTCCTACGCTATCCCGGCTGCGGCTCATCGCCCGCCAGGTTTTCCCTCGTCATACTGGGCCATATGTCTTGCAGGGGGTTAAGGCACCTGTGCTACGTACTGGCCGGGCTCCGTCGACGTGGTGGACCCCAGAGACCATACAGAAGCGCTGGGACAACTTCTACCCTCGTAATAAACCCATAAAGATGCTAGCATCACAAGGCTCCCATCCCCGGTGAACGCTAAATAACTCCTTTTGGTAACCATCAGCAGGCTATGTAGACACAGCCGCTACCGTTGCCGATGCCCTAATCAAACAATGGGTAGAGAAAACAAGTATTAGAGAAACGTGCTCGACGATAATAATAGGAGTGGCCTAGAATAGGAGATGGCCGCTTTGCGAAGAAGAGATGAGTACTGATAATCAGCGGCTGAACATCTTATTTCGTTGCCCAACCCGGACACTGGCACTCGTAGGATTAGGTAGTCGGTCCAGCTCGTGAGTCAATAATGTTGGTCTGCGACAGTCCTGTCGTCGAATGTTCCATCCGAATGTCACAAGTGAATAGAAACCCCGCCATCAAGGTCTCCAAACCGCCCAATTACACCTTGCTCGCCCCGCCATCCGTTGGCCAAGGCGGCTAGACATGCCCATCCAGTTCGCTTCGCCTGGCTCGCATTTATCACTTATCACACATCCATCAGATCTAATTTACGCTAGGAAGGAAACGCCGACAACGCCAGCGTGGCCTAGGACATGGTAAAGGGTCTTTAAGCGAATGCCAATAAGTTACCAGTAAAGGCATCGCCATAATCTAGGAGGCGGCGGCCCCATACCAGCTAGGGGACCGCAAGGCAGATATGATCCCAGTCTCGGGCCAGTAAATGTCATCCGGAGCTACGACACTTCGTTTCCCAGCTTAATTGTCACCTTCAAAAAAAACTGTCCACGTAGGTATAATGAAGCCTCGCTATGTGGCAGCGGATATCCGAGATCAGCTGAGCATACCGTACTATCTATATCTAGCCAAGCCGCCGATACTGGCCCCAAGGAGATTTTACGGTGCCTCTCTCTAAGACCCCATTTACCGAATCTTATACTACTCTCACCTTTTTGTAACCCCGCTTGTCGGTTTCAGCCATCTATCTGACCGTCATATGGATCCCCAAAGTGGGAACAGGGGTCGTCACGACAACCCAGATGACTATGTTGGAAACCAGACGGGCCCCCATAGTGCGGGCCCCGTTCAAGGTTGTAAGTTTTGTCAACCGCTTTTAGTTCACAACTATTTCCAACAGGTCTTCGGGAATAGTCCAAATTCCTGATCTACTATCTTCCCAGTGTCGCCGCAAGACTATGCGATCAGAATATCTATGCTTTCAGAAACACTATCCTCGTCTTTGCGCTATGGTGAGATGTTTCGCGATTTGGCCAGCTTTCTCGGGCAGCCCTACGAAACACACATCACTGCCATCGATTCCATTCACACGCAAGTCAACAATAAAACCCCGTGTCACTTTGCGGCCATTCGCAGATTCAACGACCAGCAAGGCAAGTTCATCCCAGTCAGCACCATCCAAGCGCTCGAGCAGCTTAGATCCCCAGGAGGACTAGGGCGGAGAGACTTTTCTTTAGTGCTATTGCGCGGCTATCCTTCCGCTGAGGTGCTGAATGCTCTCGGGGGGCATTATTTACTATATCCCGAGATTTTCTGTTCTCATTTGGCGTTTTCGTCGGAGTCGGCGGGCAGAACAACAACAGCATCCGTTCACGCGCCACGACTGCCCTCCGTATCTGGGGATTCAGTTTCACTGAGGATGGTTACGATCGGCTCTTACCCCGACATATCGTACCTTGAAGACAACCAAACCATTCTGGACGAGTTTAGAATGGATGCCTCCGAGTCGATGGCTCAGTACATCAATCGTATTAGTAGATTGGACCATTGGCACGCAGCACCTTGTGACTCGATTGTCAGAGACTTCTCCGCCCATGGATTGGATCAATTCTCGATCGAACAACAGATTTCCATCAGCTTTCAAGAGGTAGCTTGTGGGATGATAGGTAATGTATCATTGCCATACAGCCAAATCCACATTCTAATATGATTCTAGGCGTGGTATGGCATGACGCGGGCCGTCCGCTAGATGAAGGCTACGACGGACCGTGGAAAGCCAAAGGCAGGCGTCCAGTCCCTGGAGAAGTCAAATATCACTTCCCAACCACACATTACGGGCGTAGAACTACGTTTAAGGATAGTCTGATAATGGGGACACGCAGCCAAACCCCCCCGAGCAATGATCCATCCGGTATAGTAGACTTCATCATGCAGATCTATTCTCATGATATCGACCCTCAAAGAGCGCAATGCGACCTTTTCTACTCTGTCTCGCCGTGGTTCCATGTGGTGGTTTCTGCCGAAATGGACCTTCTAAGAGAGCTTGAGTCCAAAATCAGGAGCGAACTTGACCACGATACTCTAATTAACCAGGAGTTCTCAACGCTATCAAATCTGCTCTATTGTCAGCAAGAACTGAGGCGACAAGTCAGGAATCTAACTGAGCCGATCGAATTTATGGAGGGGCTGAACAGACGCCCGTGGTTTCAAGCACTGAGTGCCGAACGACAGAGCGAATGCGGAGAGACGATCAAGTCCTTCCTACGGGACTATCGAGCTGCTTTACAATATGCGACAGCTCTCCACCGAGAATGCGTCCAAGGAATGACGATCGTCGCCCACAAAGCAACAATCCAAGAGTCAGCAAAAGCCATAGTTGAGGCCCGAAATGTCACAAGGCTGACAAAGCTAGCGATGGTTTTTGTACCACTCAGTTTCATGACCTCTCTATACGGCATGAATTTACAGGAATTCGGTGTAGAAAATGCGCCAACTATTTGGTCCTGGGTCATAGCCTGTTTAGGACTGGGTGCTCTGACCACCATTATTTACCGGTATTATCTTTCCGGGGATAACAAAAGAAGGCATGGGAATCGGCAGGTTTACGGCGGTGAACCGCAGAAGGCAGGGCTGAAGAGATCCCTCGCGGCAATATAGAGAAGAGACAGGAGTCGGCTCCAATGACGGCAAGATGAGGCTCATTGACCGACGTAGCAATATAGTACTACGTATTCCCAAATTCTAGGTTCGGTTAAGATGATAAATTCATACGACGGACCATGCAGGGAGTTACTTACGGTGTGGGATGCCTCATTCCGGTTATCATCGCAAGTTGGAAGTGCGATATCCAGAGCCCCATATAAGCCTGCTCGTACGCCCTGTCCTGTGTGAATGGCTCCTCTCTTCTCATCGCCATCAACAACCTCACACTCTCCGAGCGGATCAGCAGTTCGAGCGAATCCTATGTAGGCAACTATCTTCACGTCCCATCAGGTAAGACAAAGATCACGAGAGTTGATTGCGGCTCTCATACCTGACAAAGGCTATCTCAGAGGAACCAATATGCAGGTCAACGCAGATATGCACTTTCTCGGAAGGCTTGAGAAGTATCTGTCAGAGAAACCTTACAGCTTGAGATATCCCCCATCGGACAAAATCCCGCAGTCTAACGTCGAGAGAGAGAAACACATTCTCACGATAACCAGCATCCGGGGCTTGGGTGACCTTGGCATAGACACGTACGGCTTCGACGTGATAATCCTCAACTCCAAGATGAAGTATGAGGACTTCAGCTCGGAGGAGAGCATCAAGTCCATCTATCTTTCGGAGTCTTGCGAGACGCTCCGAAAGCACCTGAACGCGAAATGGGTTGTTCCCTTCGACTTTGCCGTCAGTGAGAGATCGATATCCTTTGGTATAAGGCTAGCTCTCACACCCGATGACATGCCTGCAGGTTCGGCGTCGGCATTCTTCGTTTCCCATATCGACCGGGGAAGATTACGAAGCTGACCAGCCGACCGCGATGGCCCACATCGGTCCGCTTCCCCGTCCCAACCTCTGGATGCCTGCTAACCCCGTAAGATTTTTCGAACCAAGAAGGTGCTAGGCTCCTCCGCAGGATGTTCGGCGATCGCGCTGGTGACATTCTGAAGGATGACTGGAAGATCGTCAAGTGAATATTACTCCAATTCCCACGTCTATGGTGGTTTTGTAGCTCGACCTGACTGTTGTAGTACGTGGAAGCCTCTTCGGGGCCCTGTGAACGACTGGCCGCTAGCCCTATGCGATTCACGAACGATAAGCCATACGCAAGACACCATGGCAGGGGATATTGTGTACCCTGATTGGTTTACCGAAAATGTCCAGGTCCAGTATTCGCCGGGCCAGCAATGGTACTATCTCCCCGACCATGCTACTAACGAAGTGATTATCTTCAAAAGTGCAGAGTCCAACGCGTCTCGTGTGCAAAGTAAGCTGATTTTCAGTCAGCGGCAAGCCTGTCGTCAGCTAACAAGTGGTTTAGGTACACCACACGCCAGCTTCTACAACCCACTTGTGAAAAAAGACGAACCGCCGCGCGAGAGCATCGATTGCCGATTCTTCGTTCTGTATTCTGATTTGGAGGATCTTCCCTTGACTATTGACAACGTAGCTTCTATGTAGCATTGCCTCGGACGAAAATTGGGGTGAGGTAGAGGGGAATAAGGCTCCCTCTCCGAGGCTATGTCCTGTGACATTCTTTTATATTTCGTGGTCTTTGTCGCTGGTACTGCCGAAGTCTTACTGGATCAAGTACGTTGTGTTGGTAGCGAATTCGTGGCTTCACAGAGCCTCGTCGGAAGTCAGCGCGGCCTTTCATCTGTCAGGGTAATATTAGGCATTGGGGCTGTTTCCTATTAAACTATGATTCTTGCCCATTTTCGCCGGAGTGCCGAAACATGCGGCATATGAAGTACCATTTTGCACCGGAGAAATCCCCAGTTTAACATGTGCAAGTCTAGCTGTAGGCTCTTGTGTTGTATTATTGCATAGAGAGTGATCCCCTTCTGTTAGCCCCATATTTATGTACGGACACAAGGCTCCCGTCCAAATTTGCTCTTGTCTCCGGTAAGGTATATCTCGTATGTGATTCGTAAGAAATCCTACCCACCTACATCAGCCTACATCTACAAGTGGCAGAATGTAGACGTCTACGTTGTAACACGCATTAATATGAGAGTAGGCTAGGAAATTGAACCTCTCGGGAAACGCGCCTAGAGATAAGCAGAGGCCTCTCCAAGAGCCTTTCTAAATGCATTGTAACCCTACATTGGTATGTCCTAATCAGAGGATTTGATTATGGGATCTATCATATCATATATTGCCTTCCCACCCTTGAAATACCTGTTTGTATTGTATCCTTGCCCAAGTCTGTACCTGGTGCTAATACCATACCACAAACGGGGCAGAGTGAAGTGGTATTGTATGCTGATTGAGTTCCCTGTGGTAAAATATGCACATGTAGACTGCTATCCAATGGCTTCTTCATCGCAACTCTCAACGCGGCTCAAGATATTTCCAAGCGGAGGTTCAGATGGCATTCAGTACGTACACCCGGGCCCTCGTCGCGAAATCGAATTGAAACTAACAAGACCTAGCGTCATCCTCATCCCAGGTGTGGGAACGGCCAATTGCGAATCTTGGGGAATCTGTGAACCTACATGGGCAGAGCAATTGGCCAGTTTAAACATCGCAATAGAGATCCATAGCTATGACCATCAGGTCAATCTCGACAATGACTTCAGTTGGCAAGGAATATTAGACGCTGGCAGAGGTCTTCTTATGGCCTTACAGAAATTCCAAGATCGGCAGACTGTAACTCTACGGCACATGACCGCCAGCGAGATGGAAGAGGCTGACACGGTAGCAGAACCCGACGCCGTTGGTATTTATATGCCATGGTCTTGGAGGTTCGATTCTCAAACAGGTCAGTGTCATTCCCGGCCCAGTACGAATGAAGTCTCATTGGCACATAGGCACTCTGCATTGCCAATACGCATTACGACAGATACTGCGTTCTGATAAAGACGATCACGGGAATCATCTTTCTCGGGACGCCCCATTCTCTAGAAGGGGCCGACGCACAAGAATTTAGCAGCAGGGCACTTTCTATGTTAAAAATAGGACCAGGGAACCCACTATGCCGCCAATCTTTAATGCGGATCCAAAAGGGTTCATTGCTCCTGCGCGACCTGGCAAATCGGTTTCAGAGCGCAAACTATCGGGTCAAGATGATATCGGTCTTCGAGAAAGAGACTACAAGGATTCGGGAACCGTGGTACTTGTTCTCAGGACAGAAAGATATCGTTGTATAAGCTGTGCCCCGTCGTCAGCTAACATGATATGATAGGCTAACGGTTGGTGATAGGTTGTCGACGAGGCTCTTTGTGCGATCGCCTCTCAGTCGGAGGAGGTGGTAGGGGTAGACCTAAACCATCTTCAATTACCGCAAATGAATGACAGCGCGGGATTGATACACCAATGGTTCCAAAGTATCGTTTCGCCATCTCTGAGGATAGTTGAAGAAAGGCTACACAGTCGTAAGCAAAGCATGTTCTGCCAGTCAATAACTACAAAATATTCACTCATCTTAAGTAGGAATAAATCTTTCCATTCCCATCCTATCTTCAAACAACTACTTACCGTTTTCAGTGACAAAAGAACGTAAGTCCCATCCGGGTCGTCGGGAAGAGGAGTGTGGAGACAGTAACTAACCAGCTTCAAGAGCCCACCAAAGACAACTTCCTTTCGCAATCTTACGGTAGCGATAGCGCCAATGAAACCTCTGTCGATATAACCTTCAACTCAGATTCCAGTCGAGATTATATCGATGCCTTGATAGAAGGGTTTATGCTAGAACGAACCAACCCGGAAATTCCATGCTTTATGGTGGAAACTTTCACGAGAAACTCCCAATTCTATGGACGTCAGGATATGCTCGAGAGGCTTGATGAAGTGCTTCTGCCCTCAAAGGACTTGCTCGTGTCATCAGAGCCAGATCGCGCCAGGATTGGGCTATTATGCGGCATGGCCGGACTAGGAAAGACGGAAACGGCCGTTGAGTACGCCTACTCGCGGCGAGAGGAATTCGACGCTGTTTTCTGGATACGGAGCGAGGATACATCCAAGTTGGATTCAGACCTTGCGCATATCGCCTTGAGCCTCGGTATACAGGACCACAGGGAGCCCAATGACAAAGCCATCAACAAAGGTCTCGCTCTTGAGTGGCTCTATTCCCCTTACAAGATAGAGCATGAGGAAAGCGGCTCTAAATCCACACCAGCTTCGTGGCTGCTAGTCTTCGACAATGCAGATGATCCCGATATCCTAGCACCGTACAAGGATATAGCGAACAACGGAGCTGTGCTTATCACAAGCCGAAACCCCCTTGCCGTGACAAGCTTCTCGCAGGCAACAAGCGTCGTTGATATACAGCCTTTTAACGTCGAAGAGTCAGCTGAATTCATACAGCAACTTACGCAAAGGCGCGACGATTTGGAGCAGGCAAAACGAATCGGTGATCGCCTGGGAGGCTTGCCACTTGCCATCACCCAAATGGCCGGCTACATTAGATTGTCATTTCTCTCCTTTGAACGATTTCTGGATCTATACGACGATCAGGATGAAGGCTCAGAGATACATGGAGTCGAACCGCATCCCCGTCGAGAGACTGCCCGGGGAAACATGCTGACTGTCTGGTCACTGGAGAAGCTTTCTCCTGAGGCAATCGCATTACTTGAAATCATGGCGTTCCTGGACGCCGACGGGATTCAAGAACCCGTTCTGCTTGGTCATTGCTCCACTTTAGACAACGTAGAGTACCCGAAAAAGAAGGTGCCCTTCTACAATGCTCGAAAGCAACTCATTGCATCATCGCTTGTCCGGCATGACATGGCGAACGAGAAGTTTTGGATTCACCGAGTCACTCAGGACGTTATACGTGCGGGAATTCCAAAGACGAGGCAGATAAAAGTCTTTTCTAACGCCGTATCTCTCATCTTGAGTGCGTGGCCCGTCAACAATGTGGGAGGCCATGCAGTCTCGTTTTGGGAAGTCTCAGAGTCGCTCTACCCACACGTGGTCAGCTTAAAGGCTGCGTACGAGAAATATTTTGCCCCAAACCAGGAGGACGGACACGTACCCTTTGCCAGGCTACTTACAATGGCTGGGTGGTAAGTAATACATGCATGCAGACATAGGATAGAAGCTGACCGAGACCCACGGGTGCTTAGGTATCAGCACGAGCGAGGTCAATCTCATCATATCAAGCCGCCTCTCCATCTGGCACTTGAAATATGTCAACGCAATACGGAACGTGATTTAAGAGATCTGGAATCCGATATCCGGTATGTTCTCGGCGCAGTAGCAAATGAGACCAATGATACCGAATCCTGTTTGGTGCATAACGCGAAGTTCTTAGAGATTAGACAAGCTGTCTTTAACGAAACAGGTGCCACGGATGAGCGCCTAGCTCGGGCATATAATCAGCTAGGGACCGCCTGGATGATGGCTAAGGACTACAAAAAGGCTGAAAAGCTGTTTGCCGCTTCGGAAGCTAGATATAAAGCAGTGCCAGGCTTCACCAAGGGCCAGCTATCCATCCCACTCGCGAATATTGGTCTCGCATATTGGCTTCAGGGGAAATTAGATCACGCCGCCTCTATTCTTGAGAGGGGGCTAGCAGACAGGGAAGAGCTGTACGGATATATGGACAACCACTCCTTCAGGTTCGTATATTTCTTATTCTCGTCTGCGATCACAAATACCTTCAATTGCTGATCGGAACCCCAAGGACCGGCCGTTTACTGCACGCTTTAGGGAACGTCCGCTTGTCCCAGGGGAGAACCTCGGAGGGAGAAAGGTTGCACCTGAGAGCATTGGAACAGTACCAATCTACCATTTGCAATCAGCACCATAGGACTGCAGACGTATGTCATAAGGTGGCCCAGAACTGTTTTCGGGATGGAAACCATGCGCAAGCTATCGCCCTTATTGACCAGGCTTTAAAGGCCTGGTCCGTAGACACCACAGTATACGCCCCGGAAATCACGAGGACAACCTTTCTTAAGGGCAAGGTTCTTCTTCGGCAGAATAAAGATGAAGCTGAGCAGCTTATAAAGATTGCAACGAGAATGAGGAGTGAAATTATTCCAAGTGCTATGGTTAAGGAGGATGGCGGGCTGACGGAAGAGGATTTCGATGAAATTGTGACGTTTTGGTCCCGATGAGAGACACTACGCCGGCCATCTCAGAGCCAACCTAACGGTTGAGAATTGGTTTGAAATAGATTTAGTTATCTCCTTTCAGTGTGCAATATTCGAACTTCACACAGCACTATAATTACGAAACTTTCATTAAAAGGGTGTATGTTACTAATCACGCAATACACTCCCGGCCAACACGTAAGCTAGACCCCCCTCTACAGACCACCCCTTCACGGACTACCCTTTTTTATATGTATTTACATATAAACGATTTTTCCTCGTAAAAAATTAGATAAAGGTCAGAAAAATCAGAGATTTAATTACGTAATTAATTTACTTAATTAAATTAACATATACCATCTATCACGTAACCACAGGCTATACCCACCTCGGGCTACTCTAATCTCATTAAAAAAACATTAAAAGTTAATAATTTCGAGCTTACCGCCTCCTATTAATATTAAAGCTATTCCTAAGATATTATAATTATAATTCTTATGAAGCTTTGCCTTTAATTTCGCGTTTTTACGGCTTTAATCTGATACGTATTTCAAGGGCGCTTACTGGTTAAATACGGTAGTAAATATATATATAGAGAGCTATAAACTACTACTTAATTAATACGAGTAAATATTAATTAGATCTCGACTAAATAAACTTCTTTTACTATAAAAGTCGTTAACGAGAATCGTATAGCGTTTGCTATATAGTCTGTTATTTAGGAAAGTATCTCGATACGCCGTTTAGCTATTATATATAGCGTTTCGTAAACCACGTTAACGGCTCGGCTTTAAGGCAGGCTATCGCTATTAGTAGTTTAATATCTATAGCGCTTAACGTATAAGTAGAAAGAATACCTCGCTTTATGCATTTTATGTTAAGAACGGTTAAGACTAGCTTTTAATTACCATATTATTCACGGAATTACTGAACAGGAGCAGCGTGGGCACGCTGTGATGGAGGCACGAAAAGGACTGCCCAACTGCCAACAACTGGCCCAGTGCCGATCAACCAAGATCACAGCTGTAAACAGCTATAATCGGTTGATCGGCCGGCTAAAAACAGCAGCTGGAAAAAGAGACTAGAAAAGGAGGGTAACGAGGATGGCGAGAAAAGGCATAGTAAGAAACGAGTAAATAGCTATTGGGTCGTAATGCCTGTAATAGCTATAGGTCTAAGTCTAATTAATGAAAATATCAGTACGCGACCTATATAAATATACATCTAAAAGGCTACGTGGCCTAGATCTACCGTACCACTACAGCCTCTTTAGTTTAATTAATCCCTAAAGAGTAGTTAAACTCCTAATAGTAATAGGTACGGTAACTCTCGTTCCTATTAAACCTAATTAACCTAATCCTGATTAATCTTAATTAACTAAAAGCTAGTTAGTTTAATTAAAGGCTAATAAGATAAGTTAGAAAGAAATAGGTTATTAACTAGGAGCGATTATAATAATAATAAGTAGGTAGTAGGGTAGGTAATTAACTGCAGCCGTACCTGATCCTAAACTTAATTAATTATAAACCTATTAATCGCTACTAACTAGGAGCTGAGCTAGTTTAATTAACTATTATGTTACGGTCTTAAGAGCTATTCGCTGGGTAAAAGCCGTATGTTGATGAACTAAAGCTAGACGAGGAGAAAAAGGAGAAAAAGGAGTGCCTTATGGGCCGCACTTATAACTGCTGGCCTTATCCGCCGTGGATGCTGATTACGTGCTAAGCCCTGGTACTAGCTAGGGCCTTATAATAGGTATAGCCTATTATATAAGGTCCCTTCCCGGAAAGAAAAAAAAAAAGGTACGCCCTACCGCCCTTTTCTTCGGCGTTTAGCCTTAATAACCTAATCCGTTTTCTCTACGCCTTAGGATACGTACCGTATCTTTAGGTGCTACCTCCGTTCCCCGGGGTACGCTACTCGCTCCCCAGGTTGCTAACTCCGCCGTTTAGGGTATTAATATATTCTTAGGCTTCCTTCCGTTCGTACGTTTTCCGGGGTATTAATGCCTCCCGGGTATGGCCTTCTTCCTATTCGTTTCCTGGGGTATTAATGCTCCTCGGGTATGGCCTCTTTCCTTTCTTTCCCGGCGGTTGTACTATACCCCGGGGTCTCCTTCTCGTCCGCCGTTTCTTTCCCGGGGCCTTTCGTTTTCCCAGGGTACTACGCCGAGCGCCTCTAGCCCCCCGGCGCTCTTCCCCGGGTTCTACTCTTCCCCGGGATCTTCTCCTCCTAGGGTATTACCGGCGCTCCGGGTATTATCTACCCCTACGGTATGCCATTTCCTTAGGGCCGCTGTCTTCGTTTCCCGGGTTACGTTATCCGCTTCCCGGGCTATTATTTTCGTTCCCCGGGGTACTACTTTTCCCCGGGGGCTGCTAGTTCCGATCCTCTTATTAAACCGTAAAGTTCTAAAGCCCCGCGTACGAAGTCGCTTATAAGCGCCTGCTAGGTTTAGCCTAGCTTCCGTAACTACGGGATCGTCGGTTCGTTTACCGCCGTTTAAAGACCCTCGTTTATCTTCCGCTAGCGGAGCGAGGGCTCCGCTTAAGGGCGTGCTAAGGCGCGCCCTTCTTTCTGCTATCGTTAAGAGGCCTACGGCTTCTCCTACCGTTTAAAGGCTAGGGGCCTATCCTTTCGTTTAAAGGCCAGGGGCCTATCCTTCCGTTTAAAGGCTAGGGGCTTATCCGTACTACTAGCGGAACCGCGAGGCTCCGCCGGAGGACGTACTAAGGTACGCCGTCCCTACTCGTTTAAAGACTATCGTTTATCGTCCGCTAGCAGAGTCTGAAAGGCTCCGCCTAAGGGCGCGCGAGGGCGCGCCCTTCCGTTTGCTACTAGCGCCGCTAGCGCCCTTATCGAAGTGCTATTATTTTAACCGAAACCTTATTATATTTCCTATTATTCTAACGCCGTTCCTTCTTTATATTACGCCTCGGGCGTTCTTAACTCTTCGATAAGCGCTATACTCTAGCGCTCTATCATCTTTCTCCGGAGAAAAGTTTTCTGCCGTTTTTAGCTGTATTTTTCGTCGTTCTTATCTCGAAATTACCGTCTAAATCTACGTTTTCTTCGGTTATCTTATGTCGGTCCTCGTTTGTAGGCTGCTGCCGGCGCGTATATCCAAAAGCTGATACCGCCTTTCCGACTACTGACTCTGCCGTATGGCATCGCCTTTCCTACTGCTGATTCCGCGTGCTAAGATATGCTGGTCTAAACCGTCGTCTCTCGTCGGTCTTTTTTCGTAGAGGCTGTTGGCGCGTATACCTAAAAGCTAATACCGCCTTTCCGACTACTGGCTTAGCACCGCTTTTCTAAGAGCTATATCGCCGTTCCTACTACTGATTCCGCTCGCTTCGATACTAGTTCTGTAAAATAATAAAAGAAGGTTAGTCTAGCTTTTTATTACGGTTTTAAGAGCTATTCGCTAGGTAAAAGCCGTATATTAATGAACTAAAGCTAGACGAGGAGAAAAAGGAGAAAAAGGAATGCCTTATAGGCCGTACCTATAACTGCTGGCCTTATCCGCCGTAGGTACTGATTACGTGCTAAGCCCTGGCTCTAGCCAGGGCCCTATAATGGGCACAGCCCATTATAGATTAATAGGAAATAATAGGAAAGATCCGATAACTAGCCTAGCGGAGCTATAATCTATAAACTAACCTAATTAACCTGTTCCTGATTAACCCTAATTAACTGGGAACGAGCTAGGTCCATTAGGGCCATTAAGAAATAATAGGAATCAATAGTTAGGAAATAAGAACTGCAACGGGGTAGGTAAAACAAGCTGTTACGTAGGCATGCGTCCTTAGTAGGAACTACCTAGCTTACCTTAGCTAGTTAAGTACTTCTATATATACCCCTAGATTACTTTATACTTTCTAATAGCTTTCCTTCTTTTCTAGTTAGTTAATATATACCTTCTTACCCGCATTTCATTGCTCCCTTTACGCGTAACCTAGTAAGCTATACGTAGCTCTCGCCAGCTACGTAATAGTTTCCTATATAATTTATTAGAGAATCTGATATAATAATACGAAATTATTCTTTTTAAGGTCTTTTTATAGTAATAAAGTAGAGCTTTTATATATTTAAAGATATTATAATTAGAAAAATAGGTACTATTACTTATTTTTATTTTTATTAAGTATTTTAATTTTTATTTAATTTATTATCTTGAGAAAATATATAAATTTCTATTTTTTTAAACCTTATTTTATACAGGAAATCTGAACTTTTTAAATTCACCCGATTTCCTATATATAATTATAGAAAGTTTTCAATCAAAAAACGTCTATTTTTCAGGATAATAAATTAAATAGAAATAAAATCACCTAATAAAAATAAGATTAAATAATAGTAACTATTTTTTAATTATAATATCTTTAATTATATAAAAGCTCTACTTTATTACGGTAAAAAGAAAACTTAAAATGGGCAATTTCGTATCATTATATTAGATTCTCTAACCAATTATATAGGAAACTATTAGTGTAGGGGAAAAAAACTAAAATCGTATGAAACTCTTTATTTTATAAACTCATAAATTCGGAAAAATATATATATGAATTTAATCAAGTAAACTAATTTCATAATTAAATCTATGATCTTTTCGATTTCTTTCCGAATTTTTATAGCCTTTATTTAAATAAACATTTTGTATGTAAACCTTACATAAAATGCCTGGTCCATGAAGGGGTGGTCCGTAAAGGGGTACCCTAACTTAAATTATGTTACCTTGAACAGTTCATAAGTCGCCTCTGAGCTCGATAGACCGTCGACATTTGTGAATTCGTATTATGTAGTCTCTTGGACCCTAACTGGGCATTACATTAGCAGTATAGATCGATAGCTGACCCGGAAACTCGGAGAGATCAGGAAGTGTGGCATTAGAAAAGGTGTTGTGTAGTTGATCTCTGTGCAAGTATCGCCATTTCTCATACACAGTACTTTCCGATGCGCTGGTTCTATACGCTGGATGCGAAAGTCAAGCATGGATCAGGGGTATTATTGCCGTAATTGTACGAGGTGATGAGTCATATTACCTGGATATTGACTATAGGGGAGACTAGCAATCAGAATATGAGGTGGTTGATCAGGGCGATAAGCCTGGATGTTATTGCCAAAGCAGACGGCAGACTTCTGAGTTTGTTATGCGATGAGCAAGGGGAACTAAGTTGCCCGAGTATCGGACCAGTTGTGTAGATCAACAGTTTCTCATGTATAGAGATGTTGTGCTTGAGGTTATGGCCTCGACATCCCACTCCAGTTGCCGTTGTCTTCACAAAGGAGGGGAATTCCTTGGCTGGGCTGACAACTGGCGCTAGCAACATAGGCCTGCATACATCCTGAAGGTAGATACTAACATCAATAGGTCGATAATCCAGGACCCATCTCCAGAGCAACAGTACATAGTAGATGTACGGATTCTAACGAATGACAGGTAAGCGATTGACTATCCAGCTCTTGGTTCCACTACATAGTAGTCCCAAGCACGCGTGGACGAGACGATCTAAGACAATCCTCAAACTACCCTTGTCCACATCCCGACCCGTTCTCCTGGGAAACCTTCCCATTCGTTCGTTCCACGACCGTACAGATGTCCTCTGACATAATAATGAATGAATTAGAAATCAGTAAGACCCAATTCGAGTAAGCGTATACACTTCTCGTTGTTAGAACGAAAGCCCTGAGTGGCTGGGCAATCTTGGAGTAACCCAGATTACCAAGTTCGCCATCTTGATAATTCACTGCTTGCTTGCGGGATAATCTAACAAGCCTAATAGAAAAGCGAGGACATAGGCGCAACTACATCCCGACCACTGTTTAGCCCATCTTCTAACTCCTGTGGGGGAACATCCGTGAGCCTGGTAACACCTCTGTCCGCCTTCCAGAAGAGGTCATGACGTGGTCAACCGCGTCGAGGAGCTGGAGGTCAGTGTCAGGCGCACCTACTATGTTGACGGCAATTGGTAAATACTCTTTTTTGCCCGTAATCTTTGATGGGTACGACCATTCCCCGATAGGCACAACAACATCCGGCGAGCCGAGAATCGAGACAAGAAACAGTTCGTCCAGTGCAGATTGGCTCGTTGGCGATTTCTTTACCTCGTCTCGGTAATTGGGTTCTATTTTCTGGATTGGAAGCACCACCAAGACACTGGTATCCGGAACAGAAAATATGTTGTCCAGTAGCCAGTTCTTATAAATCTGCAGACGCGATTCGGCTTCCTTATATTCTTCTTCTGAAACCGCTTCTCCCTTGCGCCACCGATCTTGTACGTAGGGAGTGACATATGGTTCGGATCCGTGGTTTTTGTCCACGAACCGTTCACGAAACTTATCAGTCGCGTGAAAGAAGGAATAGTAATAGGTCTTTTCAACTACTCCGTCCAAGTACCATCTCAGGTCCTTAGGCGTGTTTTGCGGATGAGTCAATTCCCATCGGTCCGTGATAGATAGGTTTTCGAGAGGCGCAGAGAGATATTTCTGCATATCCTGGACGAAGTGGTAAATGCAGTTTCTTTGTTTCTTGCCGGATGCCGAAAAGTATTCGGCGATAAAGACGATCTTATAGTTCGCAGCAAGACGCCCACGGCTATGGGACCAAGCCCTAGCAACTCTAGTCAGTGTGCTCAGACTTCTCGCAAACACGCATGGGGTGTCCCATTGCGTATATGTCGTTATCATGCCATCGAGATAGTATCCTTTATGGGACGGCCGAAATTCCCACACGCCATTAACCAGGGCCGGCCGTCTCCCGCTCCCCGAAGTGTCTGTCCCAATAGCTGCATCGACCCAATCATAGGCCGCGACAGCAGCTGCACTCCCACTGCTACTCCCTGCCGGCGACTGGTACCCGTCGCCTCTGGGGTTGAAAACCGCGTGGAAGTCCACAGATTCCATAGGCTCTTCCCGGGAGATCATTGAGCTGAGCTTAGTGAAGCCGAGGATCTGAGCATTATCCTCTAGGAGTCGCCGCACCACTAAAGCCGTGAAAGAAGCCTGTACTGAACAACTATAGTATGACCTATTTCCTAGAGAATTCTCCATCCCTTTCAGGAAGTAGCAGTCCTTTATAGCAATGCGTAGCGGTTCTTTCTCGCCTGATGTTGGATCATACCAGGACCTGGGAGCGGTTGCAATACCGAGGCTGTTCTGGTACAAGCTTGCAGTAGGAAGCTGCTTGAATACAAATTGACTGCTAAGATATATGTTAATAAACTCCGCACGAAGCTAAAAAGCCGTAATCTTCAGATTGACATACAGATCAGCCCCGGGACAGACCGTGGTCGTAGGGTACACGGCAGCTTGGAAGGCATTGTTGATATCGGTCCGAATGCGGAAAACAGGTTTTAATACGCCCCCTATATAAAGATACGGCCCAGGACGAAGGAGTGCAGTAATCTTTTGATCATCCACAAATTCGCACCATCGGGCTCCAAGACTGTGCAAGTACTGGGTTACCTCTAAGCGGAACCAGGATTTCCAACTGGAAACGTTCGTGACGAGGATCCCGTTTAAAAACCCGTCTTGCTGGTACACGTCACAACGGCTCAACCTCTCCAGTTCGAGTTTCATCCAGTGCTTGCTGAGGTGTTGACCATTGGGTTTCTTTATGACCGTGACCAACGCTGTATCATGATGGCGGCATTTCCACGGGAGCTAGCTAAAATTAACGCCAGTACTAAACATATACTTGTTGTGATCTTACCTGTGCGCCGTCTAAAGCGAGGTATTCGGAGTTATTCAGCACAAACCGGCAATCCTCCTGTAATAGAAGATTTTTACGACCTTTTTCCCTAAGAGGTTCTTCATCGCTCAAGATCTCTCCGCTCCCAAACAGTCGCCGGATCACGGAGCTAAGCGATAAGGGACTGCACCAGATCATCATTTTTCTAGCTAATAATACCTACAGCGAAAACGAGAAGAAAAAGGGCGACTAGGAAAGAAGTGTGGGTGTGCTGAGCAAGGAAGATCGAGTCTCTCAAAGATGAGGCTCTTAGCGAGGCTCTCATCAGTAGTATGAGCGATTTTTCTGCAATTTCATAATGGCGTTCCAGCAGACTCTAGCAAAGCCGATGCCGGATATAGCACGTACTCTTGTATAAGTACTTAAACCATTTAATCTAGTGAACTCTCTGTATGGATTTGTGTACATCCCATGGTACACTACTGCGTCTGCATTCTCAACCCAACACATTACAGGATGGAGGTCGTCGAAGCCGGTGAAGGTAGTTCACAGACATGATACCACACTATTCTCAAGTACTCCATTTCTCGGGGACTTCCTACTTATATATATATATGCCAGTCTTTTCGTGTTGATGGAATGGCTTCCTTCCTAAATCCTCATCCACACACCTCATTCCTAGCTCGTTCCGAGGACTCTCTAATAGTAAGTCGAAAGTCGTTGAAAACGACTCGTGTCGACCCTGAGGCTAACCAACGTCAGAACCTCGAATTACCTTTACGTATCGCTATGGATTCGCCGGGAATCAAGGCGCAACCCTGGATGGTCTATTGGTATGAAAGAGCCACTGGGGCTGAGACCACATACGAGACAAAGATTGCAGCTACCGGCACGCGCCATGGGTTCGTTAAGGGGAAGGAAGTCTTGGTGGACGGGAACATGTCTGGCCAGGCCCTTAATTTCGTTCCCCGGAAGCCAATCTCCCAGGCTCATATGTCAGAGTGAGTCCTGGGGCCGGCAGCCATATGCTCCGCCGCATCTTTGGCAACTATTTCGATAAAAACCCGTAACGTGTGGTGATGATGGTTAATGAAAGGCCTCGGAATCGTGGGAGCAGGCGATGCTACACTATCGTTGATGAACTTAGATAATAAAGTAATACCTCTCGTTAGAATGAATAACGACGTTAGCAAAGACGATAGAGCAACTGCATGTAACCACACCTTGGGCGGAAACGCAGATATCATGGCGATGACCGAGTAGCGTGGGAAATAACTCTTCAAGCAAAACAAGTATCGTGTACCTACCTACATAATTACGTGCTTGCCTATGTATTAATACATACCCGGACGTACCCAAGTTAACCCATCGGGGTAGTATTACCTATATATTGCTTCCTATGAGTTCTCACACCACGGCAAGCCTCTTTATTGTTGATTAGTCGCTGTAACTACCATCAGAAAGTGTCTGCATTCCGATACTACCGTACCATCCTGTCCGGTGTGGATTGACCAGAGCTTTGGCGTGGGGCAGCAGAGCAAACCTGTAAGTCGTCCGCTCGAGGGTACACCGGTTGGCACCAAGTCCTCCTCGAGGCTACCTATGGCATGCCTCCCTTTTCCGGTGTCTTTAAAGGCACATGTGCACCGACTGATCGTTTGTCAAGCACACCACGAGGTTGAATCGCTGGCGGGACCGGCATGGGTTCTACATCGTATTCGGTCCCATCGCCTCGGTAGGCTGGGGCTGCGTTGAGGGTAATATACCTATCGTAAAATGGTGACACCAGCCTTAAGGCTACAGATGATAAGGTCTTACTCAACGCCGGTGGATTTTATGTGATGGCGCAAGGTAACTCTAAGGGCGAGGGAAGAAAGCTCACCGGGTGTGGCACACAGTAGGGCTCCTCTTATCACGGGCAGCCTTTTTCTTCCCCATTCTATTATCCGGTAAGCGAGAGCCTAATCAATATATAGACTGTAATAGTCACATGGGAATTCTTACCTTGTAATAAACTTATGCAACTTACCAGGGAAACGTAGGTAGGCGCTTACGTCGAAGTTAGGTATATGTCACGAGAAAGTCATGTAAGCCTAACTCTAGACAGGAGTTGCAGATGTCTGCATTACCCCGCGACAGAATACGTATCCGTGAGAGAAGCATGCCAGGGCCCCCCTTCGGGGGGCCGTAGGGGTTTTAGTTTATTTACAGGATAATTAGGTTATTTACGATATTATTATCAATTATATAAAACGTAAATATGTATCCTATCTGTAGGATAGTTATAATACGTTAAACCCTTTATCATACTAATTTATGTATAAGGGTAATTCCTTTATAAAAATACCCTTACAAATAACCCTATAAATAACATTATAAATAACCTTATAATTACGTAGTCATTTAAAAGATATTCTATTTTTATTAGCTAAAAGTTCGTATAGCTATTTAAAGAAGATATATTTAATAAACCCGTAGCAAATGTAACGAGATCCTTATTTACTTACTAACGTATCTATTTTTTACCTGTTTTAATCCTATTAATATAAAATACGTCGAAGCGCTCCGCGCTTCTCCAGGTTTTCGTGCCGAAAACCTAGAACCTCTCCGAAGGCTAGGGAAAAAGGGGTAAGTAGGAATCGACGCTTGATTGAACTGCGAAAAGGGATTGATTAGTAATCGATTCTTGATTGAACGGGGAGAAATTAACCTGGATTGAACGGGGAGAAACTGGCCTGGATTGAACGAGAAACTGACCTAGATTGAACGGGAATAAACTGACCTGGATTGAACGGGGAGAAACTGACCTAGATTGAACGGGAAGAAACTGACCTGGATTGAACTGCGAAAAAGGATTAGCAATCGATTTTTGAACGGGGAGAAACTGACCTCGATTGAATAGGATTGAAATAGGTAGGAAATAGGATTGAACGCGTAGGTAAATAGATGGACGCGTATGCTGCGGTTTTATTGGATGCATCCCTTTTAAGCGGGTCATACGAACTTTTAACTAATTAAAACGGCGTATACGAACTTTCAGCCAATAAAAACAGAGTTTCCCCCAAATGATACCCCTTTACAGGGGTATTTACAGGGGTATTTAACCCCGCAATTAATCAGCATAACAGGGGGTTATGCGTATTATAACTATCCTCCGGATAGGATAAATTAATTTAGGTTAATTTTTCTCCGTTTAATCTAGGTTAGCTTTTTCTTAGTTAATCTAGATTAGTTTCTTCATATTAAATTTAGGTTAGTTTCTTTCTATTTAATCTAGGTTAATTTCTCTCTATTTAATTAAGAATCGATTATTAATTAATTCTTTTTCATAGTTAAATTAAACCTCGATTCTTACTTACCATTTTTCTCTAATCCCTTAAAGAGGTTTTAAGTTTTCGATAGGAAAACCTAGAGAAACGCGAAGTACTTCAGAATATTTTATTTATACTTTACGGTATATGGGTATATAAAGGATACTTTAATTAATGTATAATATTAATTTAATTTATTATTATCTTATTATTACTTTAGTACTACTATTATTCATTTATAATTTTATATATAATTTTATTTCTAAATTCTAATCTTTATATCACATTTTAATTTTATTAAATATTATATCTATTACGTAAAAGACTATCTATATATAGCTCTTTATTTTTTCTTTAATTACTCATTTACCTACCTTAATTTCTAATTTACTTATATAATATAACTCGTAACTTCTTATTATTTACATAAAGGTAGTTTATATTTTCTTTATTTCTTTTTCCTTTTTAAGTAGTTAGTTAATTTACTTTCTTCTTCTTATATTTTATTACTTATAAAGTAACCTAAATACTTACGTAGCTTTTCTAATTTACGTAATAATATTTATTATATTTATTATATTTATTATATTTATTATATTTATTATATTTATTATATTTATTATATTTATTATATTTATTATATTTATTATATTTATTATATTTATGTTACGTAGAGGTGGCTCCTTAGGTTGCCCCTCTTTGTTACTTACCTTAGCAATAGGAGCTCCTATATATTCGCTCCGTTACTTCCATTCCTTTAGCTCGTTCTTTGATAGATCGAAGACCTTTTTACATTCTTTTTACTCCTCCTTCCGTTACTCGTAAGATAGTTCTCCGCGCGCGCTTTCGCGTACGTAGCTCCTTTATATAACTACGTAATAGTTATAAGCCCGGTTAGTGCTTTAAGGACCTCCTTCCTTCTTAGAGCCGTAAGGCGCGCGCGATCTTCCCGTTTCTTAGAGCTTCGTTTCCTTCTCCTAGCTCTCAATGCCTTCGTCGCTCGCCCTAGAGCTCGATTAAATCGAATAATAAGAAAGACGGCAGGGAATAGCTAGAAAAACCCTCGGTTTCTCTTTTTCTCTCTTTCTTTTTCTCTGGCCGACTAGCGTCTCGGCGAAAGAGATAGTCGCTCTAATAAGTAACCCCGTTTCGGAATCGCCCTTAACTAACTAGCTACGGCCTTAGCTCGTTTTATACGGGCTTTAGTTCGCCTTCGGGATAATCCGACGTCGGAAAACGGAGACTAAAAAAGGCGGAGGAGATAGCTCGGGAAGGAATAAGATCGATAATTAAGGATCGGTCTCTCCGGAAAAAGCTCTAGAAAGTAATTAACTCTCGCTTTTTCCGCCGCCGTAATAGTCTTTTACTATACGGTAAAACGGCTCTAGCTCCTTAAAGTACTGCCTTCTTATTATTTTAAGCTTTTCCCTTCGTTATTAAGAATAGCTCGAGTGAATAAGAAAAGGAAGGGAATTAAGGGCGTAGATTAACGCCGCGAGCTTTTAATTAAGCTACCCGTAGCTAGAAGGCGAGTATTAAAAGCGTATACCTCTTTAGTAGGACGCCGTTTCTTAGAGCACTACGAGTAGCTATCGTAGCTCTTCCTCTTTAACCGAGCTAGAGCTTGGTCCCTTCTTCGATAAGAGCTACCTAGTACCGGAGTTCTAACGATATCGAGGGTTTTTACACGTATTTATCAGCTTAATTAGCGGCGTTCGCAGGTCGAGGCGTACTTTTTAAAAAAGGACCGGATCCGCCTTATAATCGTAAATCGATTATCCCCGGAAGGAATTACTCTCGGGGTTTTTTAATTATTCTTTAACCGGTTATACTTAAATTAATCGACGGCTTATAAAGTACAACGGAAGAACTATCCCGTATACCTTCTTATAAGATTACTTTAAAACTTAATTTAATTAAGTAATAAGGTACGATAGGAAGGCTCCTAAGGCCCAATCTTTCTTTTAATATCCTTCGATTTCGTTCCTAAGAAATAAGCGGCGACGAGTTACTATATTACGATAACTCGCCCTTAAGAAACGAATAAAAGAAAAGG